AGAATGCAAAGGGAGCAGTCCAAAGTTTGAGCAAACTGCAGACCCTCAAGGAAAAGGAGAAGCTTCTATAAATTTGAATCCAATTAGAAAATTCAATATCCAATTAATGGATATTGGAAACCAATATTCGAATTCTAATTCAATTAAATATTTGAATATTCGTTCCAATTCAAATTCGATTGATTAATTATTTTAGGTAATTAATAAATATATATAAAATATATAAATATATAATTTATATTATATATATAAATTATATAAAAAACTGAAATATTTTATATATAGAATATAAGAATTAAAAAACTGATCGAATTAATAAATTCGAATATTTATTAAATCGAATCAAATCATGTCCAAATTCAATTCAATTATATCAAATCTCGAATTCAAAATTGAATTTTCAAATACCTTTGACATGCTAAGGTAGATAAAATTTGAATGCTGGCTGGTTTTAAGACTATTCAGTTACTTTTGCTCCCTAGCTTTGTAATCGGGTTGCCCCTAGACTAACTAAACATGCTTTGTCTTGTTATTCAACGCACACTTGATCTGTAACACCTACTTTTTTATTCCTTCTTTGAAATCTGATGTAACTGAATAATTGTTGAATGGATCAACTTTCGGGCATTTTCAAAACAAAAAATTAATTTGCACTCACTTTTGATGTTTTACACTAAAAAGATCAAAAATCCGTGTTTGGAAGATGTCGTAAAGAGTTTTTTATGTTTTTCTTGCCGCCCACTCCCCCAGCCCCGGCCCAATTAACACAAATTAATAAATGGGAGGTCTGGATTATTGCTGAAGTTAGGTAAGAATAAAGATTATCAGGATTCACCTTGTGTGGTGGGAGATAGCCCACATGTATCAGACCGACTTTAGAATTTTAGATGATGATTTTGGTTTATGAATTATTTCTGTTCGAACACTTCTCCACTATCCATCCAAATAATTGTCTTATCACCGGCCATTTGGCCTTATCATAGCCTTTAGATTTCAAAATGACTTAGCCACTCGCTAACGCATTCTCTCTTGTCAAACTTCAAAAGCCTACATCAGATCCACGTCTTAAAAAAAAAAGACTAAAATATTTAAAGTTAAACTGATGAATTTGGATTTATTCGTAATAGGGTGCTCCTCACACCAATCTCACAACATTTATACGGGAGTATTTTCCATATTGGTATATTAATTGTCATTGGGGAGATATTCCTAATGTATGGCTGTGACTTACTGTGAGGCTAGTGTGAGGTGCCCTCAATGAGAAGTAGTTTAAATCTAGATTCTGCAAAATTGACGGTATCCTTATGGACAAAAAGATTAAAATGTCTATATTATCCCTAGTTATTCTTTAAAATTTTAAAATATATTTTAAACAATCAAAGAAAAATAAATAAATAAAAACAAAAATGTCATATTCTTCGTTATTTAAGATGCATTTGGAAATGATGCAAATGGAGTGTAAATCCTGGTTCAGGGTAAATTTGCACTCTGGTTCACTTTTGCTTGTGTTTGGCAACATTACATTTATGCATTGACAAATTAATGACAAGCCAATGCATATTTACATTGATAATAAGATGTAAAAGTACATCAATAAAAAAAAAGTAAATTTGCATTCAAGTGAACTTTTGATAAAAAAAAAAAAAAAAACATATGCTTTATTGGAATTCATGTTTGCATCCATTACAGCAAAAAGTCTGTTTGGTAAGAAGGTAAATTTGTCGGTACAAAATTAACCCAACTTTGCAATTTATATAAACAGTTTTACACTCTANAAAAAAAAAAAAAAAAACATATGCTTTATTGGAATTCATGTTTGCATCCATTACAGCAAAAAGTCTGTTTTGGTAAGAAGGTACATTGTCAGTGCAAAACTAACCCAATTTTATAATTTATATATATGAACCATTTTACACTCTACATATTTACATCATTCCCAAACGCAGCCTTAGGGAAGAGGTATCACTTTGCCCTCATGCAGCATGAGGGCAGGGAGTTCATTCTACTTCATCAATAGGAAACTAAATATGTAGAGTGCAAATACATATAAAATAATACAAAATATGAAATTTTGCACTCTACATATTTGTATTTGTACTCCTTCCAAGCTTTAATCACAAAGCTTGTTACAGGTCCTTATGGCTCATGTGAATGGAATGTGATGGGCCTATTGTACGTGGATGGTGTTTTTAAGGCTGTGTTTGGTTTGAAGGAAAAAGTAGAGAAATTTTTACAAACCTTGTATAGTTAGCTTCCCTTATCTTTTCCTTCAAACCAAACATAGCCTAAAGCTTCGTTTGGGAAGAGTGCAAATACAAATATGTATCAGCATAAATACAAGGTTTAGAAATATGACATATAAGACTTTGCACTGTAAATATTTATATTTGTATTCTTTCCAAAGGAAGTCCAAGATAAAATAATATGTATAGTACAAATACAAATACATACAAGGTTCTACACTCTACATATTTATACTCAATTCGGAAAGAGCACAAATATAAATATGTAAAATGCAAAACCTGAGTTGAGTCTGATACGAATAAGACAGTACTCAGTTTGGGAAGAGGACAGATACAAATATATACAATGCACAAAATACAAATATATATTTTGCCAAACTGAGGACAGATACAAATAAGACAGTACTCAGTCTTGCCAAACTGAGCCTAAAAAAGAGATCGAGTGTAATCCACATAATTGCTTATTTTTTAGTCAAAAGAAGCAATTATTGTTTCTACTTATATGTACAAACTCAATAAATTCAAAAGATGAAATCAGTCTTTGCAAGTAGCTTCGGTGGAGATGATCAGACCATTGGATTGGTTTATCTGTGGTAGCAAATTCTATTAAGGCTGTGCTATGTGAGAAAACCAAAAGATGGGTAATACCATGTGATTGTGCTGCTTGCAGACCTCCTAAGAGAGCTCTTGTTTCAGCATCATAGTTGTCGATGGCCCAGCTAGGCTTCCCTTATGCAATATAGAGTTGACGCTGCACATATTGGATGATGAACCCTCATCCTTCATATCTTGTATTAGGATCAAATGAGCCATCGACATCTAAGGTTGGCATTGACTGTGATAGTGAGACGGTGTGGTGTCTTTGCCTATGCTTGATGATGTGTGTTAGGTGGAATTGGGATGCCGTCTGTATGACATGATATGGATCCGGTTGTCTATTTTCGAATATGCTTTCCATATGAAGTAACAGATGATGCTGAATCTGCTGAGGTACAAGAGTGCTTGCTGCTCACCTAGTGTTGGAGTAGGCACACCGTCCCATATTAATTTCCATAAGAAAACCTGGAATCTGTGCGGTATTCTGAGCTTCCAAATTAGCTTCCAATTGAAGCGGGGACCAGAACTAGAGCTTTCAAATGAGGATAAGTGTTGATAGGCTCACTTCACCCAATATGATTGCTGAACACGATGTGATGGAGTAGGCATCATTTCATTAATTGGCCATTTGTGGTTAGGCATAACGAATAATATAGAGAAGCTAGGAGCTACCTTGAGGATGGAAGTGGACCACCCCATATTCATGAGCATGGATCGACCAACTATATTACTGTGAGGGCTGCTGCACCCATGCATCTTTTCTTTACTTTCATTATGTATTTATTTGGTTGATGGGTGTTCTTCATTTACTCTTAGGCCCCATTTGGTTTGCAAGAATAGAGATTTGGAATCGGAATCAGAAAGGGTTATTTCGATTCCAACTGTTTGGTTTGGCAGAATCGGAATTCTATTCCTATTCTTGCTGGAATGGTATTCCTCCATTTAAGGGAATAGTCATTCCCTGCTCTTCCCTTGGGAATGAAACTCCATTCTTGTTGATTTTAATTTTTATTTTCATTCCTATCTGGACCAAATAGACTATGGGAATTGACCATTCTGATTCTAATTCCAAAGGATTTTGATTCCAATTTCAACTGCAAATCAAACAGACTCTTAAAATTCAAAGTACAATGTGAATGTAAAGAATAAGTCTAAAAAACAAAAGAAGGAAAATGAATAAGGACTAATATACACATACACTATATATATATATATATATATATATATATATATATATATATATTATATACCAATTGAAAATGTGAACAAAGTATTTGTAGTTAAGTTAATGGTGGTAAGAATTGGAGTAGAAGCAAGCGATGCACTGAATAGATAATGTAATAATCTAATCCTTGAAGTAAAGCTTGAGCCTAAGATCGATGTTGTCTCGTAGCAAATATATTGGCCAATAGACCTATTCATGGGCCGGGTCAGGCCGGATTTGAGCCAGGATTTGTCTCAGTATTAACAGAATATATCTAGGCTCAACCAGCGGATCTAGGTCTTGATCCCGAGCCCAGCAAGAAAATTGGAAAAAATATTTTTTTTTCTTTTTTATTCAATAAAAACTGTTCTGATTATATTAAAAGACCTCAAAACCTAAAAAAAATAATGAAAAATCTCACTAGTACTTGAAAAAAAGTAAGAATAATAAAAAAATACTATATATATTATATAAAATATATTTTTATTATATAAATACATTATCAAGTCAGACTCGGGTTCGGGCTCAGATTAAGCATTTTTGAGAAAGCTCAGACTTGGTCCAAAAAAAGCTTAAGCCTGATATTTTAGGCCCGAGACCAAACCCGCAGGCCTGATTTTTGTCCAAGCCCAACTTAGATTGGGCCAGCCCATCAACAGATCTACTGGCCAAAGACGACACTCTCACAGCCCTCGTTGTTGTCAACATCGTGAGCTGAAAGTCTATCTCATCAAAGTAAGCGCGTTCTCATTGGTGCCTACGTGCCTTATGCCTACCTCACTCGGGTGAAAGAGGAGACAAAATTGGTGGTCAAAGACGTAGTGTGAAAGAGGACAGAATTGGGTTTTGAAAAATAGAGAAATAAGGGATGGGAGTGAGAAACTTGGATTACTTTTCAATGCCAATTTATATATATGTAGCAGAAGAGAGCTAGAGCTAATGGGGTTTGAGGAAAACTGAAAAAAAAAAGAAGAATAAGAAAATAAAGATAGAGCAGAAACGAAATGAGAGATATGGATGAGAGGGTGATGAAACATTTTGTTCTGGTTCATGGCGCTGGTCAAGGAGCATGGTGTTGGTATAAACTGGCGATGTTGCTAAAATCTGGGGGTCACAGAGTCACAGCTCTAGATCTCGCAGCTAGTGGTGTCGACCCAAAGCAGCTCAATCAGGTCTCATCGGTATTCGAATACGTGCAACCTCTGATGGATTTGATGGCCTCTCTTCCTCCAGATGAAAGGGTGATCCTAGTGGGTCACAGCTTGGGCGGCATTGCCATTTCACTAGCCATGGAGAGCTTCTCCGAGAAGATCGCCGCCGGTGTCTTCGTCACTGCCATCATGCCAGACTATACATCTCCTCCTGCAACTGTCCTAGAAGAGGTAATTATTACACTAGCTTTCAATAAACTTGTGTCGGCGTCACCTCTGTTACCTAATGAGTCCATGTTTTCGTTCCTGAAAATCAGTTATTTAGAAGAACTTCGCCAGAATCTCTATCAGGTATTCAATTGACGTTGGGTCCTACACCGGAGAGCATCCCGGCTTCAATTACATTTGGGCCGGAGTACTTGGCACAGAGGATGTACAACCGCTGCCAACCTGAGGTTGGTATATATATATAGATAGGTCATTTCTGTAAAATACGAATAAAGTTATTAATCGATCGGTTGCTAATATATATTGTAACTGTACGTACGTGTTCATTCACGGCAGGATATTACACTGGCCAAAATGCTGGTAAGGCCGGCGGCACTGTTCGGAGAAGATTTATCCAAGGACACAACACTGTTGTCTGAGGAGAAATTCGGGTCGGTCAGTCGAGCTTTCGTGGTATGCGAGGGAGATAGAGTCCTGGAGGAAAGTTTCCAGCGGTGGATGGTAGAGAATTATCCAACCGAAGAGGTGAAGGTGATTATGGGTGCTGATCATATGGTGATGCTCTCAAAGCCTCATGAGCTCTGCTCATGTTTACAGGAGATTTCTGAGAAATACGTCTGATCTGATGAGGATGATGAATTGATCAGTTGAATGAAGAGTTTTGATTTGGATACCACAATTAATTCTATGTTTAGGAAGATGGAGAAGTCTTTGTACTACCTGTAGTTGTATGCAGAATTATTGGCTTAATTAATTGCAGAAGACAATATATCATGATTTTTCTTTTTTTTTTTAATTTATTTATGGGTCTTCAGGTCTGGTGTAACTGTGAACTGTGATCGATCATTTCCAAGTACTCCAAGACTCCAACCCTGTATACAGACGAACAACTTTATATTCATTTCTGGGTATTTATGGTGCAACCGCCCAGCGGGTGTTGAACTGTTGATTGCATTTGCATAAAATAATTATTGTTGTGATTCTTGCTTTCAATCGCTTTTGCAGTTTAATTTTTAATTTTTAATTTAAGATTTTACACCTTTTTGTTTTCTTGGTTCATTAATTAATTAACATGATCATGACATGAGAATGAAGAGGAAGAAACCGAATAAGAAAGAATTTTTTATGTTATATGATTCATTGACCAGAAGAAAACGACCACTCCGGGTTTAGTGCATTTGGACTCCAAGGGAGTCCAATAACATTTTGACATGGTACTGGGTGCTGCGTTGGAATAAACTTCGAGTATGGATCACCTGACAACAAAACACGTTCGTGGACACCACACATTTCGTGGTGTTAGATGAAATGGCAATTCGAAGTTTTTTTAATTGGTAAAGGCATGGTACAGAAAGTGCGCTTTAACCTCACCATAATAACATCCAACAGTTGAATATTTGAAATAAAGTTCGAGCAAGCCTTGGTTATGGTGACAGCAGAATGGCCGAGTCTGGATTTACTCCTCGTAGAGTGTGCCTCACACTAAACTTATAACACATTAAAGTCATGTATTGAAAATATCTCTCCATGAATAATTTAGTGTGAAAGCACTTTGTGAGGAAATGATCCAGACCGGAAGCATCCAACCTTTGACTATTTGGGGTAAAGCTTCAACAAGCATTTGTTATAGTGACAGAAGACTTAGCAGCTGAATTCGGATTTTCTCCTCACGGAACGCACCTCACACCAATCTCACAGCACTACTTGCAGTCATGCATTGAAAATATTTCCCCATTAATGACAACATGCAAGTGCAAAGAGATAATCCTTGGTGTGAGGCGCACTTTATGAGGAAGTTTTTCTGAAAAAGGACTAGAGTAAAATACCTTCATTAAAAATGATGTTTAAACATTGAAGAGCTAACAATGAAGGTTTGATCTTTCACAGTAACTAACAGCAAGGCCCGACGCCAAAAGAGCTTGATCTGCCCCTATTAACCAAGGGGAAAGCCACTAGACTCATTAAAAAAGGAAACTATTCGCCTCTGGATGCCAAGAGGCGACGACAATCAAATATTAGATCATTTGGTCAAACAAACTCTCCTACAATTTGAAGGAACCATTAGATCATTTGATCAAACAAACTCTCCTATCATGTCAAGGAACCAATCGTTAGATCATTTGGTCAAACAAACTCTCCTACCATTTGAAAGAATCATTAGATCATTTGGTCAAACAAACTCTCCTATCATGTTAAGGAACCAACCATTAAATCATTTGGACAAATAAATTCTCCTACCATTTCAAATAACCATTCAACCTAAAAACTTAAACTTTTTTGATTGAAGAACTCTATGCCAATAGCAAAGAGAGGGGCAGAGAGCTGAACAGTATCCATTCTATGTGGGAAATGGCTTCAACGGCAAGATTGATATCAGATTTCACTCACATCTTCTAGATGCCCAGCTTTTGCAAGCTCCAATTACCTTCATAGGTGGCTAAACTAAAAAATCACTAGTGGAAGGTCCCTCCTTCGTAGGGGCTGGAATGGAACTCCTTCGTAGGGTCTCTGGCCAAAAACTATTGAATCGGTCAACGATCCATTGATTTGAGCGGTCGAACCATCGACCAGTTGACCCGTAAAATGGTTTTTGGCCATTTTTTATTTTTTTAATTGGGAGCCATTCAGGCAACCGGTTCCGTTTTATCCTAATCTCGATCCCTGGCAAAAAATCATTGAATCGGTCAATGACCCATTGACTCGGGCGGTCGAACCATTGACCCATTCAATGGTTTTTGGTCGTTTTTTTATTTTTTTAATTTTTGTTGTCAGAATGGGCCACCATTCGAACCGAACAATCGAACCGTCGACCCAAAAACCGGTGGCCAGGAAGATTCTGTTTTCAGGTCGCATGAGTCACACGCTCGAATGACATAACACGTATGGTACTACTTAATGGACCCCACACACTCAATTTTTTGCCTGTAATTTTTGTTGTCAGAATGGGCCATCCGTTTTTTTTATTTTTTTTATTGGGAAACGTCCAAGCAACCAATTCCGTTTTACGCCAATTCCGGTCCCTAGCCAAAAACCATTGAATCGATCAACAACCCATTGACTTGAGTGGTCAAACTGTCAACCCGTTCAATGGTTTTTGGCCATTTTTTTATTTTTTGTTGTCAAAACGGGTTGTCCGTTCGAATCAGATGGTCGAACCGTTGACCCAAAAACCGATGGCCATAACGGTTCCATTTTCGGGTCATATGAGTCACACGCTCGAATGGCATAACATCATGGTTTTTAAAACCGACCCAAAGACCGAATTGGTTAGGGGTCCGGTTACCGGGTCAAATGGTTGGCCCGTTCTAACAAAAAAATAAGAAAACAGTCAAAATCGTTCGAATAATTCGATATCTAGTTATTAACAATATTTATAATAACTATTATATATATTTATATAAAGATAATTATAATAATAATATTTATGATTATATATAATAACTATTATATATTTATTTAACAATATTTATATAATTAATAGGAAATGGGTTGCTCTCACGTGGGAATCTACTCGCCATTAGACCTGTTCATGGGTCGGGCCGGGCCGGGCTTTTACTCATCATTAATGGAAATACACTAGGCCCGAGCCTGAGCCCAGCCCAACCAATGGGCCTATAACTTGGGCCTGAGCACGGCCCTGATAAAAAGCCCGAGCCCGAAGCCCGACCTAATAAAAAAATTACAATTTTCCCTATTCAAATTAGAATTAAAAATTCAGATGGTTTTTTTTTCCTATTTAAATGAACAATGGGCCTACAAGATGGTTTTTTTCCCTTTCTTTTACGTTTTAAAACATAGTTTTACATTCTTAAATAAAAAAATTTATTCAAATGGACATAATCACATAACCCATTTTAGGTCGGGCCGGGCCACCCGGCCCATGAACAGGTCTACTCACCATTTCTTGCACGGAGAGAGCACCCCAATCCTATATATATATAAGATAGCCTTAAATGTATTGTAGTGGCCCCACCAAGATGCCACTTCATCTAATTCAAGGTGGGGACATGCCAACACATTGAAGGTTTTGATTTAGTTGTTTCAGCGTAGCACTATGACAGTGTTGTAGCAAATGCGGTTTGACCTTCGATATGATGGTTGTAGTCTATTTTGGTTGTATGTTAAGACCTCGTTCATTTGTCGGTATCTCACGATGAGTAAGGGCCTTCGTTTCCTCTTAACTCTTATCTCTTAAGAGGAAGCTTTTAACTTTAAGAAAAAAATGATTGTTCATTTCCTCTTATCTCTTATCTCTTAAAGTGCAATCATACAACTTTTTGTTTTCCAATGATACCCCTAAAAGACAAACAAAAACTCTCATATATGGTGTCAAAATGGATATTTGATCATTTTCAGAATTCAAAACAACATTCTCTACAATTAGAGTTCAGAGGAGAGAAAAGTTTACTAATACCAATATACCTCTTAATGTAATTATTGCACTTTTAGATGTCAGACTTCAGAGCAAACGAACATGCCCTAAGTTGGTTAACGTAATTAACCAATTTCCCTATATTCTTACGGTGCAATAGTGGGTCCTATGGTAAGTAAATTTTTTGAGAGCATGGGTAATCAATGATGATGAGGGGTAATCTAAGCTTTCGAATGACATCACGACATGTGGCATCTCTAGACACCTAGATGACACCTCATCACTAAGTAAGCAGACCACCTCGGCACAACGGCTAACAGCACCTCATATAGGGACAAACTATAATACCTCAATGTAAGGAGTGACCTCCTCTAAGAACCGGCCGAGCTAACTTGGGAACAGGTAGCGACTTACGAGACATGCTCGCCAACTTACTCTTTGAGCCCATTATCAAGATTGAATTCTCCAGGAGTAAAATGCTCGACCGTTAAGCCCACTTATCCGCATCATCCGCCTCAGAGTCAATCAAACGGATCTTAGCCCTCTGCATAGATCACGTAACTGACAAAGGTATTCTCTCTGTGCATAGAGGGAGCGGCTCTCCGGGAATCTCGGACCCGTTACGAGGGACCTGTAGCCACTCACGCTTATATAAAGGAATCACTTTCCTAAAAGAAGGCACACATGATTCAGCTCTCACACACTCTAATCTTCTAGCACTCTAAGTCCTTCTAAAAATCCTAATTCGCTAACTTAAGCATCGGAGTGCCCACCCCGGGTAAACGCAACCCGGGCACTCTAATACTATTTCCTTGCAAATCTATTTAGAGAACTACACAGTTCGCCGATCAAACTAGCTCGGCCCCACTCATCTCGACATCCGAGCCACTTTCTAGTAGGAAAACCTCCAGCTTGGCATCCAAGTCATCAACTAGTAGGGAGTTGTCAAATCGCACACCATAAATTGGTGCCGTTTGTGGAAACACACAACAAAAAGTCGTAGTTTCACCTTGTTCTCTCATTCCTATTGATCTAATGGCTTCTTCAAGCAACCAACCCGCAAACAACAACAACAACAACCAGGTCACTAGGGGGAAGGACCAGATTGTACCACCCCCAGAGGTCCCTTCAATGACCATCGGACAACTCACAGTGCTCTTGACCCTATCAAGCGTCCCAACTGTGCCAAACTCGGCTTTTCTATTGCCTTAGGTGAACGTGCCTCTCCCTTCAGTTGAGCCCCCAGTGGCTCCTGCTGGGATCGTTGTGCGCTAGTTCCATGATTTGGTAAATTATGTTTGGGGGATGAATTTATAGATGAAAATGTGGGAAGATCGATTTGCTACCTTGGTAGGGATACAACAACAACAGCAACCACAGCTGCAGTAGCGAACACAACAACAACAACTGTAGAATTAGAATGTTGGGCTGAACCTAAACCAGGTTCCTAACCAAAACCAGAACCAAGTCCCCAATCAAAACGTGAACCAGACATGATAAAAGAGCTGACCCGAGCTACAACACCTATTGGGAGCAAAACCACCAGCTCGATTGAAGGGTTTCGAAGGAGGCACCATAGATGCTCACATTGCACTTCAAGGAAGAGTCAACTCGCCCCAGCTGCAAAGCGAGGTGGAGAAGAAACACAAGAAGGAGGCCAGCCAGATTGGCACCTCGCTGCCACAACTTGTATCCCGCACCTCGTCATTGGCCGCTGAGATCCTCGTGACCCCACAGCTTAAAGACTTTAAGGCCCCCAATTTGGAATCTTATAATGGAATAATAGACCCCACCGACCATCTCGACAGTTTCCAAGCCCTAATGCAATTGCATGGGGCAAATGATGGCAAGTTCTTCACCACCGCTAGAAGGGAAGCAATACTCGCCACCTCTGAAAAAGACAAAAGAAAGATTAGCCGAGCTAAAAAATCAATTACAAAAATTAGTACAAAGGATGATTCGGTTGACCTACCTAAGTGGCTTAGGGTAACTTGGACGAGCATGGGTTCAGCTATAAACTATTCTACTAGAAACCACTGATGCACAAGATGTTGAACTTCACGACTCAGCTCTTTGTTGAACTCTACTTCAACGACCTTTCTCGCACTACGTCGCCACTGTCCTCCTGAGGAGGAAAGAAATATTTGCCCTTCCAATCCTAAATTTTTTAAGGAAAGCCTTCCAGCAGCTTATAACCGCGACGGAAAGGCAAATAGAAGCAATAGGGCACATTTGGGACCTTTTTTATGCTACACAACCTAGAAAAAACTTCAATGTCTAGAGGGAAATCTAAGTTGTAGCTCAAAGAAATCACCCCCACAAGAGTCTAGACAGCATTAGGATGAAGCTGCCCCAAGGAGACAAAAAAAAAGCACCTCGGGAATGAAAAGGTGTAGTGGAAAATGGAGGCCAGCGATCAGTGCCTCCTCAAAGACACAAACCTCACCTCGGCCATGACTCCATGGGAATTGATCCAAGCCAGGAAGGATGCAATTGTATTCAATAGGGATTTGGAAAGTCAAAATTAAGTTTACTATTTGTTCCCCACTCAGCTCACTAGAGCCGAATGGGGTAACCTCTAGATCCGACTGAGACGTCGAGATCTCGGCATGAGAACCTCTCCATTCTCGCAATGAGGACCTCTCCTCAACACAAGGAAAGTTCAGCGACCTCCCTTCTGAACTACCTGAAGAGCTCGACATATTTACAGAAAAAAAAGGACTCACCAGTTTTGGGAAATAGAAACCGGCAGCAAGCAAACTTCAACTGGCAATCTAACAACAATTTCTTGGTAGGACTCTCCTCCAACTGATCACCCACTCCCTCGGTGAAAACCTCAAAACAATGCGAGTGGGACCCTAGTGGGGACCCCCCAATTTATAGCCTACTCATGAGGAAAATCGACGGCTAAGACGCCCTATTAGTGAATCAACTATCAAAAAGACTGTACTGCGCGCCTAACTTGTATGCCCACTTAAATTTTAAAAATTCAAACCTCATCGCAGCATCACCCATCTTTGAGCCAAGTTGGATGAGTGAACCGAGTGATTTGCGGACCAGTCGAACAAATTACCAGACTAAGAATTTGGTCCTCTAAATTGTGAGCTACTCCCTTCGCCGAGTTAACGTCGACTCAGGAGTGGGGGTAGTTGATGAGGGGTAATTTGGTCATCTAAATGACATCACGACATGTGGCATCCCTAAACACATAGATGACACCTAAACACTAAGTAAGTAGACCACCTCAATAGAACGGCTAGCAGCACCATGTCTAGGGCAGACCTATAGTACCTCGGCTTGGCTGACCTAAGGTACCTCGGTGTAAGGAGCGGCCTCCTCTGAGGACTGGCCAAGCTGACTTGGGAACAAGTATCGACCTACGAGATGTGCTCGCCAACTTACTCTTTGAGCTCATTATCAAGACCGAATTCTCCAAGAGTAACAATGCTAGACCGTTAAGCCCACCTACCCGCATCATCCGACTCAAAGTCAATCAAACGGATCTTAGCCCTCTACATAGATCACGACTGTAGCTCTTTTGTTTTATTTTTTTCCTTCTGGTAATATGTTTCTCTCAAAGACTCAAAACACTATTGTTGGATGTCTGCTTCCTACTAGAAGATGAGAGAGCCCCCCACAAAACTGCCCCCACCACCGTCCCACAGCACACCCCCGCCGTGTATTGGGAACATTTCCCGATTATAACATCATCATTCCAGGTATTATCATCGGGAGATATTCTCAATACATGGCGGGAATGTACTGTGGGATGTTGTGGGAGCAATCTTATGAGGGGCTGATTTGAACTCAGAAGGATGAAGATGAAAATAAAATAAACATCTTCATTTTCCACTGTAGCACCTTCTTATATCATCTTTTTCACCCGATGATGAACAATGACTCGGATATGATTGACTAAAACATTATCAAGAGGTACTAAAGATGAAGTTATTTCATTTTACTATAGGAGAAATGATGGGGTTCAGGCATTCAGCCCGGTAAGGGTGTCAATGAAACGGTTTTGGATGACAGATTAGATGAACCAATAAAACATTGAATTGGACCGGTCCAAAATATTTATTGCTGGACATGATCCATCCATAATAAATTTATATTGGATTGGATCGGATTGAATCAATATCTAATTCATTGATAGAAAATAAAAATACAAGTGTCAATGGACCAGGTTTAGGTCAGAACCAATTTAAATAGATTGGACAGTACAGACATTGAATTAGACCTGTCTAAAATGGCCTAAAGTATTCATCAGTTTACATTAGACCCATCAAAACTACCTGTCCAAAATGGTCAAAAGTATTCTTCAGATTGCATTAGACCCAGGGTCCATCTGTAAGACTCATTAGACCGGATCAAATCTGGCCTATTGATACCCCTACAGCCAGGGTGGGTCACCCGTAACCCCACCCGTGATCTGATGTGTAAATAGTAAGTGCAGTAGTTTTTGAAATCTATTAGATTGAGTCCACGGTGATTAATGCGATGGCTAGAAATCAACACCATTTAATTAGCAGTAGCCATATGTATATACGTCTATAGCTTAGAAAAAATATATAACAAAATGCAGGATGCTTTATTTCCTGTTGGATTTTTTTAACCGAGTAAGTAGTACACATGTTTGATTTGAGAAAGGAAGAGTTGCGAGCATCATTTTCTATTTGGGAAAACAAAAATACAAACAACTGCAACAGCTGGAAGCCTGGAATGACCAGGTTATATACTATTCTAAATCTCAACTGTGCATGAATTGGGAGAAGGGGTGGAAACTGGAAAGTGTGATGCATGCGATCAGTGATCAACTGCAAGGTTTTATGCATGTACAAAACAAGGCTCATACAAGATCACTTCTTGTCAGGCATGCTGTTCAAGTATCAGTCAGTAGAACAGAAAACTCAGCAATGAATTGTTTTGCAACACCTGGTACAACAAACTTTGGGGAAGAAACTTGTCAAAAACAAATTAGCTTTGATGGAAAAGAGAAACCTTATTTTACATGTTTGATGTTGAGGCATAATGCAAAATTCATTACAAGTTCTAATACCCCAGGTAATCTACTCAAACTCATACTCTACAGTTGTGCATCAACATAGTCTTGCCGGCACCTATAGTTGCAAAATCAGTTATCAAACTGGAGGAACTACTCTGTTACTTCACTGTGCACATGCCGCAGCACAAACAGAAATGAAACCCAAATTGACGAAGAGTCATGTAAGGATTTTGGAAATCATCTGTCCTTTAAGTAGAAGTGCAATTCAATAGATCTCTTGGGGAGCATCAAATTATCAAATAAATCAGTTTCTTCAGTTGCATCCAATTTTCAAGGTTCAATGAATGTAACTAGCGGCGAGCAGTGCGAGATTTTGGTTTAGCAGATTTCTGCAAAGAAAGAAACAGACAAGGGTGATTATTCAACAGATGCATTTACCACATTCATTACAACCAATTCTTTTGTGGTAGGAAAAAGTAGTCTCTTTGCCACTCCAAAACCATGTTGCAAGGACAGATTCTCTATAATTGCAACTTTTCTGGGAGGAACAAAGGGATGTTAAGAAATCAAGCCAAAGCAAATTTACTCACAGATGCAGTTCCAAAACTTGCCCCTGACGCTGTTGCAGGACCTGGAAACAAGTAAACAATATATAATATCTCATTGTATAAAAAGAAATAAAATATTAGGACTGAGGAACACATCTTGCCAACAATCACAAAGGTTTGGTGAATAGAGAAGAAAAATCGATAATGTGACAGATTTAATAACTAAAAAAGAAAAAGAATTTTCTAAAGAAGTATCACTTAATGTGTCAATACATATAGGGTACTAACTAGCTAAAATCTTAATAAGATGAAAAATATTATGCTGAAGCCATAATTTAAAGATCACACTGACAGCAACCATAATCACCAAATGTACAACAACTTCAATTACCAATAGAACATACTTCTCTAATGGCATAAGCCTGGACCATTAAGAATCTTTTAGAATAAACTTTGAGCTCTAAATCACACATGTAATATCATTGAACAATATAGATATTTTCTGCTGCAATGATATGTGCATAATTAAATCATTTTAAATTGGAGATGGGGAGTCATAATATTATCCCTCTTTAGTTTCTGAATCACACCAGTACTGTAAGAACCTGGTCCCATGGGAAAGTAAAAAATGCAATAGGTATAAAGAGCATGCCTGAAGCAAAAGATGGTGTTGAAAAGAGTGAACTTCCAGCTGGATTGGTTGAAGCAAAGGATGGTGCACCAGTACCAAACAAAGGAGCTGGGGTGGACCCAAATAAAGATGATGCAGATGCAAATTGCGGTGAAGCAGCCGACGATCCAAACAGGGAGGATACTGGAGCAGACACTAATGGAGTGGAGAACAGCAAAGATGACGAAGCAGAAGATGGTGCAGAATATGGCGTACTAAAAAGTGAGAATCCACTCCCAGATGAAGCTGAGGTTCCTGCAGAAGGTTGTGGGGCGCTTGATGGCCCACCTGTTGCTGAACTTGCAAATAAACCAGCAACTTGAGTAGACGGTTGTGAAATTGAAGGCAAGTGTAATGTTGGATGAACCCTCTTGGCAGCAGCTTCTTGTTTGGCAGTTTCCCGCCTATCAGCCTCAAGAAATGGATCATTTCCATCCCCTCGGCGCCGCTGGTCAGCAAGATAAGCTGTTTTCATTGACTCAATGAACTGATGAAGGCTCTCCACCTGCAGAATACAAGACAAAACAACAATGGCCAATTTAAAATAAGCACTATCATCAATACTATTATAAAGCCGATACTTGCCTTGGTTTTGGTGCAGGTCATATAAGTTAGATTTGATATACAATATCAACTTAAATATTTACCATTTACTTGCACACGTGCCCTTACGCTAGTAGAAATATAATGTCAAATTCAATACACAAATATAAAATTTTTTATCAATAAATAAGCAAAAAATAATGGAACAGATCAGAGGCAAATCAAACACCAGGAAGAAACTAATAGAAAGATGCTATGGATCAAAATAGGAGAGAAGTCTCCTTTCCCAGTTATGCCATGCAAAGTACATTCATGCAGTAGTTTTCTTACATCTTAATAGATAGATCAGTTGATTCTGAGCATATGTAAGTACTGAGGTAGAAACTGTCCAGATACCACATATTCTGGTATAGTACTTTAGGATCCACCTTCCAACCCACAAACACAGCATAGCACACACACACACTTAAACAAATACAGGAGGAGAAAACTAAAAGAAAAAACTGAGCTTCTAGGTTGTATAGATAGCACAATTAGATTTAATAAGTCATTAGTTATATGTAGGGTAAAACTCATAAGGTATATTGATTCATAATTCTAGAGGATGAAAGTCAATCATCTTAGAGTTCAGTCATCAGCAGAATCATCAAAGCAGCAACCAGCAAGTAATAGTGCAACTTGGCGTAGCTGTTCCAACCAGCCACAGGTTTTATTGTAGATCTCAATAGTTCACACTACCCCAATAAACTGTTTATAATCTGCCCTTACTGCTTCTTTTAGGCCCAAAGAATTTACTCAATCCAATGCAGGGGTAACAATCAAGAAGAAGCCCTAATTAGTTAGAGCCCGTTTGGCGCGTTTTTTTGGGAAGATCTTCTGGTAGCTCTGACAGTCAAAAGACGCATTGAGCTTTTGCATGAAGATCTGAGCAGCCCGAAGCACTTTTGGCAGACGCACGTCTTTCCCTGTGTTTCCGTGCGAGAATAAAACGCGAAAGACGCGAAAAGCTTCATTTGGAGCTTCCCGAAATCAGCCCAAAATGGGCTTTTCGCGTCTTTTCGGCACTCCGGCTTTTGGCGGCTAGATCTTCCGCAAGCCAAACGGAAATAGACCGAAAATCGGTCTGCCTGGCTTGTAAACAGCCGAAAGACCGCACAAAAAAATGCACCAAACAGGCCCTTAGTTATTTAAAACAGACACACACGTTACTGAATGGGTCCATTTCAATATCAATGTGAAAAGACAGAATAATCCACATATGGACCAAGTACAAAATACAAAAGCACTTCTGTTACCTTGGCAGCCACATGAACAAAAAAATCATGCACATTGGACATGACTTTTGGTAGAGACTGCACTAATGATGAGTCCATTCCATTAGGGTTCCCATCAGAGTCTGAGAGTAGCTGCTCTAACTCTTCAATCCATTGGCAGCACTCACCAAGATACTTCTCAAATCTGGCCACTGTATGCTGCATAAACTGAGATGGTCTCTTTGGAATCCCACTGTAGAAATCAAATACTGGTACTACAGAGGTAGACATTGGCTGACTAGTTGCATTTGGAGCCATAGTTGCTCCTGGAGCCTGTGATGGGGCAGTAGCATTTGAAGTAGCTCCCACATTTGGATGAAGGAACCTTGGACGGAGCATCATGAATGAACGAACTGCAACTTCTGTGTTTCTCATCATGGTCTTCACAACAGTCATTAGCTCTTGCAGCAAAGCCTTCTCTCTTTCCATGGCAATACTAATTCCACCAAGCTCCTGACATATGATTGATAGTTCAATCCCTTAGAATACATCAACAATGTAGCATATACAAGATGGACCAATAATGATAGCAGAGGCAGACTGATAAGAAAAAAAAAATGATAGCAGTGGTCATTTATGACATTCAAAAAAAAAAAAACCACATGCACACATGTGGAGTTTATTAGGGGGAAGGTGGAGGAGAGTTTCTGAGAATCTTAGTTTAAAGAAATCTTATTGCTTTGAGTGTAGTCTCTAATTTTACTATTACTCTATATTTACCAACAAGAGAAACAAAATTGTTGCTTAGCTAGGTTACATTGTGGAGGATGTCTTGATATTTTATGTAAACCAGTTCACCAGCAACATTTGGATTAGATATAAATAGATATTCAGGACCTGTGTATTATCAAAACATGGCAGCATGAGCATCTCAATAAAATATGCCCATAGGTCATAACAAATTACAAAGTCATCATGAAGCCTCAGGATAACATAATTCAAGAAACAGCATACTACAAAAGGAAAGTGGTACAAGAAGGATAGCAGATATGGGAGCAAAAGCACCTAATATAAGTCATATATTACTGCGGTCTGCAAATGTAAACAAGATTGATGTGTGGTTCTAATGAACAAAACATGTACTACGTCTATGAACATGGTATCCAACAATAGCACATCAATTGTACAACTTTTTCCTTGAAAATGTGTTCAAATAAGATTTAAAAAGGTTGAAATATAACGTATCATAAACAAGAAATAAAAGCTTTCAGACAATCCATACCTTGGGTGATCCCTGTATATGTCAATAAGGTCAACAGATTACATTTTAAAATGCATAATCAATTTCTGGAACTACTCTTCAAAAGTCTAGATTTTTACTGTAAAATACATATCTATGCATTGAATCCTTCAATAGACATCTATTTTAGGTGAAATTCTTAATACAAACAAGAATAAAAGGTTTGACATCAAAAAATCAAGATCAAAGTTACATAGATCTAGATGCCCTGGATTGGGACTCTTGTAAACATGAGGGTGAGGTTATCAAAGAATTTACGAGGATATCAACAAGAAAGTGAAAGTTATGATCATTCCAAGGACTTTCTTCTATGGTGACATAGCCAAAATGGGTGTTTCTGTTCAAAATTTTGTTTATTTCAATTAACAGTTATCAGTTTCAGTAACATTTTCTAAAACATTGGTATTTGTGATAAATCCAAAACTACAATGATCTCCAACATTTGACAAACTCATCTATGGATCCAGAAGAATAAGACGATCAACCTTTCAAGCCAAAACCCTAGCTTCTCTTAGGTAGGGATGCAACTTGGGATCCCTGTTTCTTTTTTAATGAAGGGGGGGGGGGGGGGGGTGTTACATGTGAATTCTCCAAATCAGGTACCCAACTTGCTACTCTTAACACATGTGACAACCTCATGGACCTCTAGTTGTTTCCTCCCAACCAAAAGAAGTGCTTTAATCCCCATCTATTATTAGTTCCATTAAACTAAGGATTCAGTACATTTATACACTTATAATAGGGTCAATACTTAATACCTTAACCAATATCTAGTATCCTCCACAATGTGACCTGAAAAAATTGTGCCAATGTTGTTCCTAAATGTTCCTTTGCCCTGGACACGCTATGATTCCCAAGTGACATCTATGAAGGTTCAACCTCATAGCTATGGAAATAGAAACTCAGCTTTCAAACTTGTTCCTAGGATCCTTCCATTCTTCTTTCCTGTAGCCACCACATTATTATCCTAAACTGTATCTAGAGATCAGCTTACCCAGTCTCCTCAAAAGGAGGCAAGAAACTAGGTTAATATGAGGTTCTACATAGAATTAGAATAGGGGAAAACCCAAGTTATTCCAAACAACTGAAGAGTTAACTCCATATGTTAAGAGGCCAATATACAATACAGGAGGAGGTGATTAACAAATTCACCTGGTTCCTTGTGCATCATGCATATATGCAAGCATAATTTTCAAATAAGCATACCAAAGCAATCTACTAAGGGGCCATTTCTTGGTGCAATGATCAAAATCTTAGTCTAACAAATATAAGAACACAGGTTGAAGTCCAAGAGCAACCACTTTGTGCAAGAAAATGCCAAAACTTATATCCTCCATCCAATCTCCCCTCCAACATTGCCAAAAAATTATGCTTGCATCCAATCTCCCCTCCACCATTATGTGAGATGACATCAAACAAAATTCATAATCTTCAGAGGGGCTATAGATCCAAAAATCTGTGTTGGAAATGGATAGTAGCGGTGAACAGGATTTTGAAAATAAAGACTTGGAAAACACGTGCTTTGACTCCAACAACCAAAACACATGATTTTGAAAATAGAATCCTTGAGGGCCTCAATCTCAGTTTTTGACCTCTCTTGGATAGTGATATTGATGCATGAACTTTCTAAGGGGGGTCAAGCATCCATGCCAAACACATTCAGATTATGACCATGATTTTCTTTTGTTCCTTCACATGCTTCAGTTATGAAAATGCATAGTTTGGAAAAAATAAGGAAAAAAGATATGCAAGATTACAAGTCCTTTAGGATACCTCATCCTTCTAGATACAATCTTATAGACACTAACATCAGAACATCAGATTACTTAGCTTGAAAACCTTTAATGTTCATAGCTCCATCTTGAAATTAAAATTACAAGTATTGCATTTATATTTTATTCCCTCTATTGTAAGGCTCTTTGAACATTTTTATGATACCATTCCACAAGTTCCAAAAAAACCCATGAAATAATAGAAAGGACTAGAAGTAGTCATTTCTCATTTAATTTGATAAATATATGCAAGAAATTGGATATCCTAGCTAGCTGTGGGGGAAGGAGTTCCTTATTCCAGAGACTAAGCCTGTCACTCTAATTTTCCCACTTTTCTTCGATTTGATTACCAGCTCTTGTCGTTTTAACCTCTTACCTGCATTCCTTATAGAACGTATGGTTACATTCGCCCCTTCCCTCCCTCCCTCCCCCTTTTCTCTCACATAACATATTTTATGTGCATATGAGTTTGAATAAAATTTCTGTGCTTGATATGAAAGAACCAATGTAAGATACTAACACTTCAGGTAAGAAAATAGATAACTGTTATGAGAGCAAATTAAAGTGAACCAAGAAGAAACCAAAACAATTTTAATTTATTAAAAATGAACCTGTACAATATGACTAGCTTCAAGCTCAAACCCATCACTTGATACCGAAGAATCATAAAGACGACTACATTGATCTAGCCTCTCGCTTTCATCCCTATACCCTAGTATCCGCTCCCTGCACACAAAGAAATCCATTAAGGATCCAGAAGGGTAGCATAAACCTTATTGATCAAAAAAAAGGTAGCATAAACCAATCCCAGGAAAAAAAAAAAAGAGCTCCAACAGTACCATGACGCCCATTTCATGGAAAAAACCTCTTAACCCTAGTTTATGGGCATCATATAATTACACAGTTGTCTTTCTCTTTCTTAGAATAAGGAAGAACTATGAACTCTTATAAAACAAAATCAGGGATGACATACTCGATCTGGAGAAGTACTTTTTGGGAATCGGGATGAAGATCGGCCCACTTCGTGTTGTAACTGGCCGGAGTTTTATCGTTGGTAAAGAGATAAAACTGTTGCTGCTGCTGTTGTTGTTGTTGCTGCTGTTGAAAAAGTTGTTGCTGCTGTTGTTGCTGCTGTTGAAGGAATGAATTGGTCTGTTGGAGCTGCTGTTGCTGTTGGGGCTGGGGCTGGGGCTGGAAGAGCTGTGTGGTTTGCTGTTGCTGAATTTGGGGAGAGAAGAACTGGAATGCCATTTCTGTTACCCTTATTTTTAGTGGTTATTCTCTTCTTCACGCTCTTCAGACATTTCGAAATCTGCACTAGATTTGGGAGAAATCCCTACAACTTTAGAGGTTAAAATCACCAGAGAAATTTTTGTTTCAGCTCTAAAACCCTAGAGTAGGGACGGACAGACGAACACAGGGAGGGAAATTCCGCTGTCAAACTCATACTTCCATCGTTTATTATTTTCAAGTTTTGGGTCTTGGATCCGGGTTATTAATAAGGGCCTTTTGAGCAGGGCCCACTGACATGCAGGCTTGGGCCGAATACAGTATTTCGGGCCTTCGCCTCATGCGAGTGTTATGCTGCTTTGGCCCCATAGCCCATAGGGCGGTGTGCTTACGCTAGATCCAGCTAATGGGGTTAGTGATGATAAATTTGCAAACGAGGATCCATTTGGTATTCAAAACTAGTGGTGTCAATGGATCGGGTTTAGTATATTGAATTGGACGAGTTCAGAATTAATGGTGCAAAGTATTTATTGGATTGGATTGGACTTGGTCCATCCGTAATGGCTTTTATTGGATTCGGTCCGATTGAACCAAAATCCAGTCCATTGATACAAGATAGGAATACAGTTATACACGTGTCAATGGACCAGGTTTGGATTAGAACTAATCCAAATTAAAACCAATTCGAATATATTTGATAGTCCAGACATTGAATTGGACAGGTCCGAGATGGTTTCAGAGTATTTATCCGGTTGAATTGGACATGATTAGACCTGGCAATCGGGTTGGGTGGGTCGGGTTCGGGTTGGGTTGTCAAATGCTAGACGCTAACCCTAAATGTCCGGGTTATGGTTGACCCATGGGTCAATTCGGGTCATCCAAATTATATGAAAAATGTCAAAATTAAAAGAATTAACCTTAAATTTCCAAATATAAAATAAAAAGCTTGAGCATTTAACAATTTAAAGAGTAAACAATAAAAAGTAAGGATAGAAAAAATTAAAGAGTAAACAATAAAAAGTAAAGACTAAATAGAAAAAATTAAAGAGTGGAAACTTCTAACAATGCATAAATAATCACAATTAGACTTGACAATCGGGTCAGCAGGTTGACCCATGACCCAACCCAGTTTTTTGGGGGGGGTCGGGTCGGGTCGGGTCATTTTCACATTCAAGTAGCTAAATATGAGACCCTAACCCTATCTTTTCAGGTTGGGTTCGCGAATTGGGTCAACATTTTGCTAGGCATAGACCTGATCCATCTATAATGGATTCATATTAGACCAGATCAAATTGGACCAATTCCAATCCAATTGACACCCCCATAAATGATGACAAGAGCTTCCTAAAACGGATGATTGCCCAGTGAATTGTTCTAACTCTTGGGCATGATGAGTAGCAGATAAATCTATAGCCTTGTTTGGCGTGTCTTTTTGCACGAGCTATCGGCTTTTTAGAAGTCTGACAACCTGTATTTTGGTATTTTCCCATTTGGTTGGGAAAAGATTTAGTCGCCGAAAGCCGTAACCCTGAACAGATGCAGGAATCCCGTTTCATGTTATTTTTGGGAAGCTCCAAATGGAGACTTTCGTCTTTTTTTTTTCAACTTGTCTTCGCACGAAAAGACATGCCTTAACCAAACAGTCTTCAAGTTGCTTAGATCTTAATGCAAAAGCTCACATCATCTTTTGGCCGTCAAGTCTACCGGAAGATCTTCTAAAGAAGACTTACCAAACGACACCTAAATAAGAGCATGTTCGTTTCCTCTTAACTCTTATATCTTAAGAAGAATCTTTTAACTTTAAGAGAAAAATTGTTGTGCATTTCCTCTTTATCTCGTATCTCTTAAAGTGCAATCATACAACTTTTGTTTTCTAATGATACCCTCAAAAAAAGGCAAACAAATATTCTCATGTTGGGGTCAAAATGGATATTTGATAATTTTAAGAATTCAGAATTTATATCAACATTCTTTGCATTCAGAGTTCAGAGGAAAGAAAAATTCACCAATACCAATATACTTTTTAATGTAATTATTGCACTTTCAGATGTCAGACTTTAGAGCAAACGAACAGGCCCCAAATCACTTAGCAAAGTGATGTAGAAATACATCCATGTGCTAATACCACTTAAAAAATGCAATAAATAAATTTTAAATAATGTAACCTAACATTTGCCATCTTGGAATGAACCTATTCAATGTGACATATGCTAGTTTAATAAATATACCATCGGTCTAACAGACATCACAAAGAGTTCATAACAATGTTGAAGTCAACTACATGCAATGAAAAATGGTCTATTAGTTTAACACCACCAACTTGAATCGTATTAGAAGTTTAAATATCAATAATGTCACCATAAGCCAAACCTATAGAATAAAGCAAATTATGTTGCAATCACAACATGCAACAAGAGCATAATATTCATTGTTATGTTGTGCTTGAACATTGGAAGAAGTTGGCAAGTTAAGGTGAAGTCGTGATGGCATTTAGCGTACATCAAGGTATTGGCCTGCCTAAATGAAGGAACCCTTATGATTCCCTTTCATTGGGCAACGTAAAATCCAATGCCTATAGTTTGCTTTAGTTTTTGCCATGTGCAATGTGTAGGTAGGATAGTGTTTTCATTGGCAAACAGTCAAGTCTTCGAAAGTCTAGAGAAGGCAACAGAGAAGATAGAGGTTATGGGGAAGAAAAGAGAAGAAAGGAGATGAGGGAGTTTCTTCCTTGTGAGAAACCCTAGATAAAAGTTGTATTCTCCTTCTGGGGAAGAATTGTTCTTCCCCTTTTATAAGGAGAAAGATAAGGTTATCAAAGAAGTTATTTCCTGTTAAAAAATGGGATCTTTTTTGTTACGAAAATAGATATTTCTTTTTGTTTGACTATTAAGTAATCATTATTAGGGAATCATATCCCTTTCAGATTCTCTCCGTGTGTGGCCCTATTATACTGACGTGGCGTGGGTAACATCATCATTTGGCGGACGTACTTTCATTAAACCCTTATACATAATTTAAAGATGCATATATAACTAGCATTTATTTCCGATCTATTGTACGGTTAGAGGCATTTGGCCTTAGGCGGCCCTTAAAAACTGCCTCTGTATCATGTCAAAGAAGGCAAAGGCAATTTTTAATGCCTTTATAATATATTTTTATCCTTCCTTTCGGTGGGACCAAAGAAAGTAGCCACTATTTTAAGGATTCGCGCCCAAAGCCATCACGCGCAACAATCAAATTTCCTCTCAAACAAACAATTTACTCTTTACATCTTGGTTTCTACTGGACTCAAAAGAGAAGTGAAAGGTAAATAGGGGCCACAACTCCAATGTCGTCACCATGGATCGTATGCACAGTCGCGGTAAGGGTATATCCTCATCGATTCTGTCGTACAAGAGGATTCCACCCTCTTTTGGTTCATTCTTCATCGTTTTTTTTATATTTCGACCCCTACTTCGCTAAATGTCGTCTTACAAAAAGATGATTTTATCTCTTTGTTTGCATCTGTTTCTTTAGTCGTTCTAGCTGGATTTATTTTTTCCTTTTTTACCCCATTTAGTTACCAAAAAATAAAAATAAAAACCCTCATTTTCCTCACATGCCTTCCAAGTTCCGAGATAGCGTTAGTAAGAACAGGACACCTTAGGGTCGGACTAACAAACAAGCTTAAGTGCCTACCCACCCCCACCCCCTACACCTATATATAACGCCAAATAGGTCACATTTCATTCCAAACCCAAATGCCTCCTTTTAAATCCAATCAAATAAAAGGGGTCAATTGGTAGTTCACATGGTGATAGATGATAAGATGAATACTTTGGATGAATTTTTTTGGTATTATTTTATTATTTTACACACAAACTTAGAGTACTTTTTTGTACAGATTTTTAGATTCTCATGGTTTTATTTCTTTTGTTGTGATTTGAAACGCCTACGAGTTAGGTTGTTGTGCTTGCAGTTGTGTGTTTTCTGTTTACATGCTTCTAGTTAATTCTTGTAGCCCACAAACTTGCAGTTGTGTGTTTTCTGTTTACATGCTCCTATTTTCTCAGATCGGTTTCATTCTTCATGATTCTCATGGTATTGCTCTAAGTCAAGAGTATAACTAGGAGCAAGATCCTATGTATCCTAAAAGCTCATAGGCTTGCGTCTGAACTTTTGGCATTCAATGTTTGGTGGTTGAATTTCCAAATTGACTTAGAACTTTTGGCATCATTAATTGTTGAATTTAATTTTTTAATCCGGACTTCATTTTTAAAGTTTTAGGTTGCCATTCAAATCTCAAATAGATGTTTTGTATAGGCAATTCGTTAGATTATAGAAATGTCTTACCTTTTCTATGCTTTTTTTCCCTGCAAATGCACCGATTCTTATTTATCTCTCTCCTTTACAAATCCAGGTTATCTTGTATGGAGGGCAGGTTGTTTCATGGAAGAATGATCACCGTGAAGAACTCCTTCTCACAAGTAGTAAGGTTATTTTTTTATTCTCCTTGTATCATGGTAGATCTTTCTGCTTAAATGTTTGTTTCATATTTGAATAAAGTCGTCAGGTCTCTCTTATAAGAGCTTCTAAACAGCTCTATTGTGTTTCTACAGCTAATAATTTTTTGTGGTAAATTAATGGATTTATCAAGTCCTAGAGTTTACTTACAAAATCAACACATCGATTGATAGTTGGAGATAAATAGCCTTCATAATGGGTGAGTGGATTATCCAATTTTTAGGGTTCCCAATCCCAAGAAGGTCAGACAGTATTGGTTGTTTATTAATTAATCAGTAGGCATTTGCATGGCTGGTATGTTAAGCGGTGCAGAACATACATCTGTGTCTTTTGCAGAAGCATGGAAATTGTTCTTGTTAATTGAAGGTTAAATCATAACACCTAATTACCTGACTTTACTAACATTTATGATTTATCTGTATAATATGAGTAGGAAATGCCAATGAGTGGTCATTAAGCCCAAAATAATTAAAATTTTGAGAAGGAAAAGCTATGTATGCTGCTAATATTTGTTTCCTAATTTGGTTCTTGTTCTTTAAATTAATGTAGGCAATGCAAGGAGGAATACCTATTTGTTTTCCACAAGTAATTCTAGCCAAGCTCATGGATATTAAGGCATACATTAAGGGGGTGTTGGACAATTTGAGTGGTTTTGTTTTCTAAACCAAAAATGGCTTCCATGTCAGCAAAAACAACACATTTTTACTGATTGGTGATTTGATGTACTTGTTTTGTGATTTTCAATCAGATTGAACTTCTCATGTTGCTCTTGAAGAGAGCTTGACCAATTCATCATTCTGGGATGGCCTGTGAAAAGATTCAAAGGAGATTAGTAAGCAATTAGTCTATTGGTTAAAATAGATTAGACATTTGAAACCTTGCTTATTTTTGTGAGAAACTCTAAATAGCTATCATAACAACCCCACACCTCCAATAAGACACAGTACCAATAATTAGAAGGAAAATTAAATATCCCCTAATTTACCAAGTACTCCTGCCTCCTGCATAAAAGAAAAAATAATTAGGTTCTATCTATATGCTCTAACTCTTTTTTTTTAATCTACAAAAGATGGTTTCTAACTCTGACATTTTCATTATTAATTTTATTGGTAATTAAAAAATGTTTGAAGAGAAAATTTTCTATAAAATACCACACATATATCTTCGTCATTTTTTCTAAATTTTAATTTGACCTTTTAATAAAGGGGGTACATTGGAAAATTACTTAATACTTACCATAAATTTGGGGACAAATTTTTCAATAGAGTGCATGGAAAATTACTGAATACTAACCACAAATTGGGAGAGATATTATTACTTGGTGCTGGAAAGACATGATACCAGAAAGACTTTGACCAATCAAAACCTCTTGTAAAATTTGATGAAAACCCACCTAATTGCTACTTTTATGATGTAGGAGATTCAGAAAACACCATTAAATGGTTAAGGGACATGGAAGGGGATCCTTGGAGGTTAAGTTATTATCCCTTGATAGCCTTTCCATAAGAGAACCTTTGCATGGCCCATTTAGGAAATTTGCTATGGGAAGAGATATGATTTTTGTAAATTCTGATTTGCCTGATACGTCTCACTTGACTAGAGGAGTGTCTTTTATATATGTTAGTATATCTTTAGGCTGAGAATGCTAGACATATCAGATTTCTAGTATGTAACCTTAACTGGAATGTGCTAGATTGTCTGAATCTCCATCAAGGGTTCTGTATCAAACAGAGTTGCAGGAATTCCTTGTAGATAATTGGCATTATTTGGCCATGGCCCCATTGCTTCTTTTATCATACAATCCAGTTGTCTCTATCTACAGTGAATCTAGCATAACCCAAAAATTACAGTTGAGTTGTACCTATCAACTGCAAATGGAAAGGATATGCCCAACTTCCTTAATGTTCTGATTGCATACATGCATATTCAATGAATTGACATGATGTGATCTTATTTCATTCATTTTGTTAATTATTTGCTCAGAATCTGAACAAGAAAGGTATAGGGAGAAAAGAGAAATCATAAATGGAAATATCAAGTTATTGGGGCTTGGATAATTAGGAAGTGGGTTTAGGTAGTGAGAAAAGACATGAGCACTAAAGAGTTTCACAGAGGATATGTCCCTCCATGTGCAGGAGGAAGGAAGTAAAGCATTCATTCATCATAGGTGATAAGGCAACTAAAACTAGAGAGAGAGAGATTTATCTTTCCTCATACACAAAAAAAAATCTTCACAAAAAAAAAAGTTCAACATACCTCTGTAATTTTGATTCTATCAATATACAAACATCCATTGATCTAATATAGCTCTGGTTTGGAAAATTGCTACAATTCCAACTTCACTATTGTCATTGCCAAATGGTGAAAATGAATACATCAAAATTGGGCACTAGTCATCAAATAACTAGTTTGGTTAGTAGATAGTACAACACATAGTAAGCACACAAATCAGTGCAAAGCTTACATGGAAGGAGAGACATTGTGTTTACAAACTACTGAACTTGATTAATCCTCACAGCCTTGTTTGCCTTTCTATCTATACTTTGCCCATCTAAAGCCTAGTGAATGGGAACCCACCAAATTAATTTCCAAGTGAGTCAATATTAACTGAGTATATAATTTCTTTTTGGTATGATCTTTCAATCAGGAGAACTCCCAAAGCTCTGCATTCTTGACCTTTGAGACACTCTCTAACACCTCAAAGGGAAGAGCATCCCCTGTTACAACCACTTCCTTGTTCTCCAAGTCCACCTGATAGGAGGTTACACTTATAGACCAGTTTGTTAAATCAGGGAAACAGATGAGAAATCATCCAAAGTGAGCTAGGCCAGTCACATACCTCTCATCTTGGAGATGTGTTTCTCAACTTTTCTTGCACAACCATTGCAATGCAATGGCACCCTTAATACAACCATCTGTATAATCCATCAACAGAAAGTATTTGAATTAAATGTCCAATTGCAATTGAGAAACTAAAGTTCTATACAAAGTGTAACATCTACAGTAGGATGCTTTAAAATTGATATTATTGGTCTGTTTAGGAGGGTTAAAGTTCTAGTTGAGATGCTTTTCATTGATCTCCTTTGGTAAAACCACTAAAATAAGCTTTACAAAAAAGGTTTTTTTTTTGCTAAAGAAGGACAATAAATTTGGGCATTCTAGACTTTTCACCAAACATTGCTTATACGCTACTCGTATGGGGCCCACCCTGCAGAGCCAAAAGCTACTATGGGAAAGCCTCCTCAAACAGGTATTATGAGAATTGAGAAAAAAATCTTATAATATTGTAAACATTTTTATATTATTAGACATTGCAATCTATTTGTGATGGCACAAATATTTTGGTTTTACTTGGACATAACAATAGTGATTAAATTTGTGAATTGTTTTAAAATAGTTTGATTTAATTGTATTTATAATAAACTCTTTACAATGTGAAACAATTTCATAAATCTGTATTACATCCTTCAAGATTAAACATAAGTCTGTAATGGACTTGGAGCCTTTGATTTTGGTGCATGTATTTGAAAGAATTAACAATTATTTATTTTACATGGAGGAAGAGTCATTTCCTTAATAGGCCAGTACCATACATAATTTGTATAACATCGTTCTTATCCCTCTTCCCTATCCCAACTAAGGTAGCAAAGAATTTAGAAAATCTGCAAAAGAAGTTCCTTTGGAAAGGTTGGGAGGAAGAGAAGAAAGTTCATCTTGTCAGTTGGTGCCATCTTGCTAGTTGCTGCCTAGGTGTGAGATCACTTTCTAAGTGCTATGGGGATTTGCTGGATCATGCCGAAATCTGTCAAAGACCTATTATGTTGCTGGAAAATTAGGGCTTTGGAGGAAAAAGGAATGTGGAATACCATCCCTATGCTGATTCAGATTTCAAAAATAACAGAATTATCAAATGAAATGCTGAGCATTTCTTGTCTTCCCCGATGCTGATTCAGATTTCAGAATAGGTGGGAATTTGTAGTTGTGGTTGGCTAAGATTTTCTTTTCTCCTTGTCATTGCAATAATCTATTAATTTCTTGAGTATAAGAAACAACATAGTAGTTAGCAAATTCTATTAACTTTTCCAGTTATATTCAAGTTTTCTTTGTTTGGTTTTCCTTTGCATTTCTTATGTGATCTGGTTTTAATTGAAATTATCATGATAAAGTTGAGGTTATATAATTTTCATGTTTCTAGCTTTGATCAGTTATCATTTAGCTTTCTGGAGCAATCTTGTTGGTCCCAAAACAACTCATTTAGCTTTCTAACTTTGAAGGTATTATTTACATAAATTATCTTCAGCTTTTAACCATCTGGTGTTGTAACTAAAACCATTTTACAGGTACCTAACTAGCATTAATTTTAAATGGCTTTCTGAGCTTTGTGGAATAGTCCTGTAGGTCCCAAAACAACTCATTTTTGGGGTCCTGTTGCAAACTAGGGGTTTGTCACTACTGAATATAGAATTATACTTATAGGTGCATGCATCTATGGTAGCACTTGCCTCAAATGTGGCTCCTCATATGTCGCTCTGTTAGTTTCATGCTTCATGGTACAATCCTTTTATTGGGTAGGCTTTTGGTGTGGATAACTAATTCCTGATAAATGCTAGATGTTGCACTATTTTAATCTTTTTGTTGCATGTTCTGTCTCTGTGGTATCAACTAGTTCAGGATTTAGATTGCTTTAGTCTTCTATGATACCTATCTACAAATGTTAGTATCAGAGTAAGCAGGTTGAGGAGGTTATCTATCCTTCAGGACTTTATAGAACTTGAATTATTTTTTGGTGTTGCAGCATTGTTTTATTTTTATTTTTTTTAGATGTGGCTCGACCGCTCAATAGAAGTACCATTACAAAATTTGGCTTCTTATTTGCAACAGTGTTTGACTCCTATTCACTTTTTGCAGTAATGTAAAAATTTGTTTAAATTGCTAGGTCTTCACTTCTATGATCATTATTTTTTGTTTTTAAGTTTTACCATGGTTGATGTGATTTTCTTGTAATTGTAATTCTCTATATGTTGATTCTTTTATAACTTAAAGAAAGAAATATCCTTTTGAAGTTAAAATAAGAACTTAAAAATAAGGTGTCTGAGTATTTTTTGGTAATAAATAAAAAAGAAATTTATTGATAAAAGAAAATGAAGCCTATAGAATGTTTTATGGGTTGATTCTATTTTTCTAGATTGAATGAGACCTAATATAAAAAATTTTGTGCCACACAACCTATGCTAACCTGAGCTAGGGACCAACTGTTAGTTCCATAGACCAAGTAAAGATTAGTAAAGCATAGCTTAGTTCTATTTGCATAGTCTGAGCAATAGTGATATCAAGTCAAATAATAAATAGATATTTCAATAGAAGAAGATTTTCCATAGCCCAAAAATTACAGTTGAGTTTTCTAACAATTCACCATGAAAGAGATTTTGTAGAACAAAATGGCAAACTTGTTTAAAAAGAACTGTAATATAATTATTTTGCACTTAATAATAGAAACTAAATTTACATTACTAAAACATGCTAGGACCCTAGTATCACCTTCACTTATTCACTAAAATCACTTTCAGAAATTAATAATATAGGCTCGTTATTCAAGATAAGGGAGGGGAGAAATGTTTAAAGAAAAGAAAATTCCATGCATTGTTTGGATGACCTCCAAACTTGATTTTTCTTTATGGTTTTACCATTTTTCTTCCTAATATGTCTTCTCCACTAGCCACATTTCTATTTGTGATATTTTGTGTAATTAAAGGCCATATTCTTCTTTAAATATAAATATTTACTATCACTTTTTTCTATCGTGCAGTCAGAGGAAGCTAGGTTATGTGATAGAGGAGCGGGAATAGCTTGAAAGGAACATAAGAGAAAAAAAAAGGAGTGCTGTTCGAATCTGTTCTCTCATTTTTGGATAAGGTAAGAACTTGGATTTTTTATTTTCAAACTTTAGAGTTTAAATTGTGCATTGGATTTTGTCACGAATTTGTTGAATGGTGGTCTTGGAATGGATGGATGATGAGAGGGAGGTACTCTCGGACATTAGGGGTGGAATGGTTGAATGAATGCATACATTGGAGTGCTTTTTTCTTTGCAGGTCTTACCCCTGAACTCACTCCCTGTAACCACTGCAACCCACCACCGAAAACTGGCACGAAATCAACCCCGAAACTATCAACCTTGACCCATACCATTGCTGCAATTTGCAGCATAAAACCTACTCAAACTCAGTCCAAAACCTCACCCTTTGAACCCTTCCATCTACTGTATTTTTGCAGTAGAAAACCACCCCTGAAACCATCATCCTCGACCCATCTAAGAGCTGAAAACCAGCCCCGAAAGCCGTGGCCCATACCATTGCTTCAATTTGCAATAGAATAGCTGGCATGAAACCAACCCCGAGCCCACCTTCTTCAACCCGTCCACCTGTTGTATTTTTGCAGCAAGTTTTCAGATTTGAATCTGCTCACGGAAACCCGCACCATCACTACAATTTGCAACAGAAAATTGGTGTGAAACAGCCCCAGACCCACCTTCCTTAACCCGTCTACTTGCTAAATTTCTCTCAGTAGAAACCAACCTCAAACTGGCTCCAGGTAACCCGTGCCACTGCTGCAATTTGTAGCAGAAAACTGGTGCAAAACCAGCCTCGAACCCACCTCCATACCATTGCTGCAATTTGCAGCAGAAAACCTACTCAAACTCAGTCCAAAACCTCACCCTTTGAACCCTTCCATCTACTGTATTTTTGCAACAGAAAACCACCCCTGAAACCATCATCCTCGACCCATCTAAGAGCTGAAAACCAGCCCCGAAAGCCGTGGCCCATACCATTGCTGCAATTTGCAATAGAAAAACTGGTATGAAACTAGCCCCGAGCCCACCTTCTTCAACCCGTCCACCTGTTGTATTTTTGCAGCAAGTTTTCGGATTTGAATCTGCTCTTGGAAACCCGAGCCATGGCTGCAATTTGCAACAGAAAATCAGTGTGAAACAGCCCCAGACCCACCTTCCTTAACCCGTCTATCTGCTGAATTTCTCTTAGCAGAAACCAACCTCAAACTGGCTCCCGGTAACCCGTGCCACTGCTGCAATTTGTAGCACAAAACTGGTGCAAAACCAGCCCTGAACCCACCTCCATTGACCCTCCTATCTGCTGAATTTTTCTTAGCAGAAGCCATCCTAAAACCCGCTCCCAGTAACCTGTGTTGCTGCTGCAATTTTCAATAGAAAATTAGCATAAAACCAGCCCAAACCCACCTCCTTAAACCCTCCTATCTACTGATTTTTTTTCAGTCGAAACCAGCCTCGAACACCACTCCCGGTAACCTAATCCAATTATGGATGGACCAGGTCCAATCCAATCTAATAAATATTTTGGATCGAATTGATCCAATCCAAAGGTCACTTTAGATCTGGCTACAGCCCAAAGGTCATAGGTTTACAGCTTTGTTAAGGTCATGTGCTAATTAGACAGCTACAGCCCAACAATTTTTCTTTTAGGGATTTGTGTTAGAACAAGGGCCAAGTATCATAATATTTGGTAGTCCAATTTTTCTTTTAGGGATTTGACACCAGGAGGTTTTCCCTTAGGTTAGGTTGTAGGAACATAATCCAAGTATCATAATATTTGGTAAATATTACAAGTTTACATTTAATTATTTTTATTTCATTTTTTGTTGCTATATGTGATTACATAGTCAATAGCTATTAATTTAAAAAAATTATACCTATTTACATTGTTTTTTTTTTCTTTTTGTTGCTTTTCTTTGCAAGTTGTAGAGGAAGAAAGGATTGGATGAAGACTACAAAGAGCATTTTTTGTTGAGATGTTAAGAGGAATTTCTTATGGACTACTCTATATTTGATTTGTAGGTTGTTAAAAAAAGAAGACATCTACTCAAAAGGAAGAATGAATATAATGAGGGTTCACTGTTGTGTTTTTTTTTTTTTTTTTTTTTTAAATGATGATGAAAGTCAATTGGAATTTTATGGATAAGGTGTATGTTTTTGGATTTTATATATATTTTCATACAGGTGTATCAATTGGAATTTTTATGTAGCAATATTCACAATATATTGCACTTTAAAAAAAATGAACCTTTTTAGAGGCGGCCAAAAGTGCCTCTAAATATTAAAGCATATATCTTTAGAGGCAGCCAAAAAGTGCCTCTAAATATTAAAGCATACATATTTTTCCTTTTCTTAGATTATTTTTAGAGGCACATAAAATTGCCGCAAAATTATTTAGAGGCGTTCATATGTGCCTCTAAGGGGGCGTTCTTTTGTCGGATTTTGAGAGGGGGGAAAGTTGGTCAATGGGATTTTGGTTCACATTGACCAAGAATCCCATGTTTTTTTTTTTTTTCAGATTTATGTGGGGACCAGGGAAAGTTTATTTTCCTGGGTATCACTTACTCGGGTGGGTAAATAACTTTTATTTTCCGGGTAAAGAATCCCATCTTTTATTTTCCGGGTAAGTGATACCCATCTCCTAGGTGGGTAAATAACTTTCCCACCTAGGGGGAAAATTGCCAACACTTGAATGGGACAACAATGCTCCTTTAATAAGGGATTTTTATGGCTAAAATGGTCATTGCCTTATTTACATGAGAAATAAAAGAACATGGGTAAATACACTTACTTGGCTTACCCAAGTAACTGCATTTACCTGAATAAGTAACTTACAGAAAAGCAAACAAGGCCTAAATTGAGCTTTTAGAGGCACTTTTAATTGCCTCTATATAGGACTTTTAGCGTTAGTATAATAGAGGCAGTCGAATGTGCCTCTAAAATTCCAATTTAGAGGCGGATTACGGATTTATAATCCGCCTCTAGTGCTCAACCAAGCGCCTCTAAAACATTTAGCGATAGGGCCTTTAAAGGCATCTACTTAGCCGCCTTATATAACCTTTAGAGGCATTTTTTAAGCTTTTAGAGGCAGTTATGGCTGCTTCTATAGATGAATTTTTCAATAGTGGTAGTTTTGTAATGGTGTCGGGTTCATCGCAACTTCGTGCGTGTTCGGGGTTCATCGCAAATCCGTGCATGTTCGGGGTTCATCGCAAATGTGCGTGCATCTTATAAATCACCGTAGATTCGCGCATGTCTAAGTTTTATTGCAGATTCGCGCCAGTCGAAGTTCATCGTGACCTGTCCCGGGTATGAGTTTACCGCAGATTTGCGATGAGCTATGAACTCATCGCAAACGTGCAATGAGTTATGGATTCATCGTAGGCGTCCGTGTAGTGTTGGTTTGACACTTTCTATACTTTGATGGTCTTAGTGACCACTATGTATCTAAACAATGTCTTCTCTCCCTTTCCATATGAGCAATTTGGTATAAATATCCCCTTAGCCATGTGTTCTCTGCAAAGTAATTTTGGATGATAAACAATTGAACATAAAATCCAATAAGTTGTAATCTATGAAAATGAAACGAAGAAACACAACATGAGTTCAATTCACTAGTTACTTTGTGAAACCAACTATCAATGACTCCTTTGGTATCTTTTCCATTGTACATTGGCAATTTAGTCTCTGATTACATTCATCTCCATGTTTACTAGTTGATCAACTATACCACCATCACCGCCACCAATATCATTGGTTTCATCACAATTATCATGTTCATCTGATGGCATGTCCTCTCTCCCCCATTTGTTAATGTACACATCTATGTGTGCCTCCTTTTTAATGAAATTATAAATATCATTGGTTTCATCATAATTATCATCTTCATCTGATGGCATGTCCTCTCTCCCCTATTTGTTAATGTACACATCTATGTGTGCTTCCTTTTTAATGAAATTGTATGTTATGAAACATGCCATGACTATGAACCTTGAAAGTTCAAGTCATAACATGACATGTTTTTCAAAATTGGGAATTTGCCTTTGAGGATACCAAAACAATGCTCCATTACATTATGCATTGGGAGAGAGAGAGAGAGAGAGTAATTGAAATATTCTTTACGTGATCTTAATCTACCACTATGTCCCCGAAAATCACTCGTGTGATACCGCTCTCCAAGGTAAGGAGCAAGAAATCTAGGTGCATTGGCAAATCCCAAATCAACAAGGCAATACTTTCCTTCATTGAATTTTAGTGGTAAAGATATTATGGAATGAAGTATAATTTTTTTCAAAGTTGTTATTTGCATCTGCATTGTACCTAGTGGAGGTACATACAGAAAATTATACTTCTAGTCTAGCAATTACTTCCTCAAGGATTCTAGAGTCGTGTGTCGAACCTTCCCATCCAGTAAACTAGCCGTTGGGACCCCCTCCAACATCTAGCTTTTGCTTTTTGAGGGTTTTTTTTACAAGAATACCCAACAACTATAAACAACTATAGGGAGTATTTATGTATTTAGGCTTTGGAGGAAGAAAAACTGAAAATAATGCCCCTAATAGCTATATAACAGCTAGTTTGGGGGGGCATTTGGGTAAAGTAATAAATGGTTTTATAATAACCAAAATACCCCTCCCAACAACTAAAAAATAGCTAGTTTTTAGGGTATTTTGGATAATTGAATTATTTTAATTCTTATAAATACCCATATCCTCCACCATTCTCATCACACCAATTCTCATACTCTCTTATACACAATCATACTCTCTCTACTCTCCAATTCTCAACCTTATTTAAGTTTCAAAAAGAATGAGGATTGCTTAAGTATTTCAAGTTATCAATTTGGGAGGCATGGAGGCTTCTACCGTTAAAAAAATGGTTAGCTCCTCCTCCCAGAATTAGTTCCTTAACATGTTCAATGTTGATGATGTTCGGTTGCAGTATGATAGTGTCAACATTGATATGGATGCTACCAATGTTGTTAGAGTTCCCACCCCTACTACTACTACTATGGGAAAGAAAAAGAAGGTTACTAAATTGATTAGCCCGGTCTGAAAATTATTTAGCATAGAAGAGGTTGAGGGGAAGGGAAAAAGAGTCATTTGTTGTAAATGTAGGAGTGACTTTAATTATAGTCACAAGGGTGGTATTTTCCACTTGGGCAGACATGTGCTAGCTCTCCAATGAAAAGAAGAAGAAGAAGAATCACAAGCACAAATTGGGTGTGGGTTTTTTTTGGTACTTTTATATATTCTCAAGAAAAAAAATGAGACGAGTTATCAAAATATATTGTATATGCTGAACAACTATTTTTATTACCTATACATTCTAAACAAAGCTGTAAATTGAGTCGTGCCGCCCACGGCCTAGCACGATTTTCCACCGGCCTGGCACAATGACATGCAGATCGTGCCAGACTGTCAAGCACAACACAATCATGTGGGATGTGGTGGGCCAAGGGTTTCATGTCCACAGGCTGACACCGTGTCGCCCGTGGGCTCGCAACAGGCTGAACATGGCTCGCCCGAGGAACTAGTTGTTGGAGACCCTTGGTATTTTTGTATTTTGGCTTTGGAGGGGAAAATTGATGAAAATGCCCCCACCAACTAAAAAACAACTAGCTTTTAGGGCATTTTGGGCAATTGAATTATTTTTAATTTCTATAAATAGCCCAATTCTCCACCATTCTCACCACACCAATTCAACAATTATTTTCTCATACTCATACTCTCAGGCACTCATACACTCTCTCATACTCTTAATACTCTCTCTACTCTTCAATTCTCAAGTCTCGACTTTTTCCAAGTTTCAATAAGAATGCTTGCTTAAGTATCTCAAGATAGTAATTTGGGAGACGTGGAGGCTTCGACCTTTGAAATCAAGTTGAGATTCTGAATTAATAATCCGGGTGAATGTAATTAAATTAATTTTTATTTTTTAGAATTAAAAAAAATGGTTAGCTCTTCCCAAAACCAATTCTCTAGCATGTTCAATGCCGATGATATTCAGTTGCAACATGATAGCATTAACATTGATATGGATGCTACTAAAATTGTCGGAGTTCCCACCCTAGTACCGATACTACTACTGGGGGTAGGAAAAAGAAAAGAACTAAATTGACTAGCCCAATTTAAAAACTATTCAAAATAGAGGAGGTTGAAGGGAAGGGAAAAATAGTCATTTTCCAAAAATATAGGAATGACTTTAGCTATTGTAGTAAGCAAGCATGGTATTGGCCACTTGGGCAAGCATTTGCTCACCCATGAGAAACAAGAAAGAAGGAAAAGAAAAATACCAAACACAAATTGGGAGGGGGATTTTGGTACTTTTAAAATATTCACAAGAAAAAATGATACAGTAATTAACAAAATATATTGTACATGCTGAACAACCATTTTTATTAGCTTAGGATAGGTGAAGTACACACAAGAACAAAATGTTGATACAAGGCCATGTGACCCATTCCCTTTTGAATCTCCAAAAGTTATAATGTTTTCCTTTATTCTACACCTAGGCAAACTTTGTAGGGAAATTGGATTGAATTGGCTTTGAAAATTTGTTAAATTTTGAAATGCACCCATTGATAAGAAACATCATGGCTAGACTAAATAAATATTAATTGAAAGATTTCAGCTCACATTTTGAAAATACAGTTTGGTATCACTAATAAGAAAAAACGGGAAGGATAAAATCATCATCAAACCATGACGTATTTGTTAGAAATGTTTGTACTAAAATTTAACTTGGTCAATAACAAAAAAATAATTTAGGTGGTGCTTGGCAAGTCTTTTGTGTAGTCTTTTGGCTTTCGCAAGCTTAGAAGACTGAAAATAGGGTTTTTCTGTTTTAGTAACCAAATGCTGGTAAGGCTAGAAGACATATGTGCAGAAAGTGTAAGAGGGTGGCACACAATTTGACCGACCCAACCCAGATCACTATGAACCATTTTAGTAAGTGTTGAACATTTCAACGCTAAGGGATGAATATTCTAGAAACCAAGAAAGCATTCTTCGATAAGAATAAACATGTGCAAATGAACATTGTAGAACTAAATCTGCTAAGCATATTCAAGAATGGAAATTAACATGTGATTTAAATTACAAAAGGGTAAATATGAAA